AGGTCTGGAGCCCACAATACAAGAAAGACAGAGAGCTGCTGGAGAGGGTCCAGAGGAGGGCCATAAAGATGATCAGAGGGTTGGAGCACCTCCCCTATGAAGATAGGCTGAGGGAGCTGGGCTTGTTCAGTTTGGAGAAAAGAAGGCTGCGGGGTGACCTCATTGCAGCCTTTCAGTACCTAAAGGGAGCCTGTAGACAGGAGCAGAATCAATTCTTTCAAAGGGTAGATAACAGCAGGACAAGGGGAAATAGTTTTAAGTTGAAGGAGGATAGATTTAGGTTGGATGTCAGGGGGAAGTTCTTTACTGTGAGAGTGGTGAGGTGCTGGAACAGCTGCCCAGAGAGGTTGTGGATGCCCCGTCCCTGGAAGTGTTCAAGGCCAGGTTGGATGGGCCCTGGGCAGCCTGGTCTTGTATTAAATGTGGAGGTTGATGGCCCTGTGTGTGGCAGGGGGGTTGGAGCTTCATCATCCTTGAGATCCCCTTCCAACCCTGGCCATTCTGTGAACCACTTCAATAATCAACCTCTGAAAGTGATCAGTAAGAAACCACCTATGTTTGCTATCACTCTTAAGTACGCTGCCTCAAAAATGAGCAAGCTGACAAGAGGAAAAAAAATTCTACCTTTTCTATGTGCTCACCTTACCAGAGGATGTTCTTGTTACACATTCAAATACTTGCTAGGCTCTCCCTAATAACAGCCTGTAGAACATTTACTCCTCTCACTCTTTATGCTTTTTTTTTCTCCCCATATTATTGACTGGGAGAAAACTCCTGAGTCCCACCCACCAAGAAGCATGCAGGCTGAGGTTGGCACCTTGCTTAGGCACCACAGCACATCCAGTTTCCATCTGTGTAAAGACACAGGTGTAGGCAAAATAGCTTTGGAGGATTAGGCTGAGCACAGTTCTTACACCCATGAATAGTACTTTCAGTGATTATTCACAGTGGCCACAGCTGTAGATAAAGGTCAGTGTTGATGGAAAAAGCCTCAGGCCTCCAGGCTCACAGCAACAGGTGTTCCTTACAGCCTCCTTTTTTCAGCAGTCAGCTAATGATTAACAGATTATCCCACCTGGATGCAATAGATCCCTGCAATTTTTATTTATTTTTAGGAACTTAGTTAAAACATTTAACTGAGCAGCCAAAAATCCTTTTCAGAAATTCACTATTCTCAAAGACTAACTGAATAGAAAAAAGGCAAAACCTTCTGCTTTTCAGCATTTCGCCACTGGCCAGCAAAACTACCACAGACTATAGAAGAAGACATGCAAGATGGAGCTGAGAGAGCAGGACCTGCTCAGCCAGGGAGGAAGAAAAGTGAGAGCGACCACAGCTTTCAGCTCCCTGACTACCAAGATGGGGCCAGCTTTCTCAGAGCCTGAAAGCAAAAAAGCAAAGGACGCAAGCTGAAACACGGGAATTTCCAGTAAGGATTTATCTGATTATTCCTTTCTTTAACCAAGAGGGAGGATGAACACTAGGACAGGTTGCGCAGGGGAGCAGAATCTCCATCTTTTGATATGTTTAGGATGCACCCAGATGTGGCCCAAAGCAACCTGAGCTGATGAGAACCATTTTGAAAGGTGGGTCAGACTGGGTTACCTCAGCAAGCCCCTCCCAGCCTAAACAATGTTTTCATTGTCAGTTTGGCTGCTTCTTGCCTAAGGGTCACATCCATCAGAACTTCTGAGTTTCTCCAGATCCTACACAGATGTGTGGGCTTCTTATGGTAACCTGAGGTGCTTTAAAAGTAATTCAGAACTCAAATACAATATTCTTAAGTATAAATTTTATCCATATGAAATCTGCTTGGAACAATGCTTTAAATAACCACTGACTCTGTCAATAAATCTCTTTTTTAATCATAAACTTTCAGTTGGCAACTTTTCTTTATGCTCCTGGCAATGCTTTACTGATTAATTCCTGAATTTCTTCACTTTCTGACAGCACTGAAAGAAAAAGTCAAATCCATACAATTAGAATAGATGTGCTAAAGTTATTAAAAACTGCACCTATAATCTGAAGGATCCTGAGTGACAATTCTGGGTAATAAAGGGAGATTAAAATGGAATTTATCATTATGCAATGCTAGATAACTTTGCCTTTCATACCATCAGCTACTTCAGACACATCAGTCAGAAGAGCTATCATTGCATCTAAAATTGCTTTTAGGGATGGCAGCTCCTGCAAGCCACAGCTCAGAGCTGGCTAGAGTAGGAGGCAATTTATCCCATGGATTTCGAATCTGTCAGTTTTATATATGTAGAGTGGTATTTTATATAGCAAGTCATGTCATAAAGATGGCAGTATCAAACCCAAAATGAGTTCCTGGAACATTGTTTTCCACTGCTGAATCAGATACATCTCACAGGAAAGTTATATTCTTTTAGCAGTTTTCATTTGGTTCACACAGGACCAAAACATCTGTTATTTTATCAGATACACCTTCTGCTACATTCATAGCCAACCTGCCCAAGAGAAAACTAGCACTACTAGGAAACATTAGTTCAAAAAGAAACCATATCATAATTCTGATGCATATAAGACTCAACATGCAATTCTTTTTATCTTTCCCAGTGATGAAATGCTGCAAATGAGAGTTAGCCATTATGTCAGGAAACATGTTTGTGCCATGCCAGCTTGTAATGGAAAGGCTTGGGCCACTTACTCTGCAGATGAAAAAAAATCAGGGTGGTCACCTGCAGTGAAACTCAGCCTTGGTTTTTTGGCCACAAAAGCAAGTCTTCGCAACTATTAACAAAGTTGTTCTCAAGGGAAGGTTTTGCATCTTTTTCAGGAAGAGTTTAAAAAAAAACAAAACATTTTTTAAGTACAAGAGTTTTGCAACAAAAGGTACAGAATTTATGAAATAACTTCTAGTCATTTGCAAACATGCACTTGTTCATCTTTATGAAGTGGGAAAGTTTTGCCTGTCTGTATGATCATATCTGAATGAGAATTCTTCACATAAAACATCCCATTTTACCAGCTAATCCACTATCATTGAAGTTACTGGCTCCCAAATGAAACTGCAGTCTACACCTGCCTGTGAGCTGTACTGCCTCTATAATGCCTACAGCTGAAAATCTGATCACAGCAAGACACCCTTGGCCGTGAGCAACCCAGGCTTCAGCAGCTGTGCTGTAGGAATGGCTGATTTACTACCTATTTTCTAACATCCATTCCCAAAACACAAAGTAAATCTCTTTCACTGATGAATCAAAGCTGTTTTTTAAAAAGTACTGATTTTAAATAATTATTCATTTTACAAGAAAATTACTTATTTTTCTTCCCCATCTTAACCAAGCACTTGTGTGTTAGCATTCACTAAGCTGGGCTTTGGGGGTTTACCAATGAACTGAAGATAACAACAAATGTATAACGTAATTGTTACAAAAATCTTTGTTGGAGTGTGCTGAACTGCTCATCTCCAGTTATACTCAAGATCATGGTCAACGTGGCATGATTGCAAGCTTGGGCAACCTAGCCCAGGAAAGCCTACTTCATAGATGTTTTTTCTGATTTTGTAGAAAGAACTAAGGAAGCTGAAAGCTCAGATTCCACTGTGTGCTTCCACATCCACAAAAATCAAACCCAGATGACATTCTATTAAACTAAGCCACCTGTTCTTTACGTGCAAGATGGAAAAAGATTCTTTGTACTTTGCAGTTATCAGAGCTGTGGTGACAAGAATGTTTGTATTAAAGAACAAAGGAAAAGAGAAGCTTAGAACTGCACCTATGGACAGCCTCAGTGCAATAAAGCTCTGTACCTGCCTGGCAAGCTGCCTGCACACAGAAGCTATTCTCCCAGCTAAATGGTGGATTTCCACATCTGGAATGCTTTTAAGTGACAGAGTACAACAAACTCATGAATAAATAAAAACTAACATTTTCAAGATGATGCTCCTATGTTACTACATTTTTCTTTCCATGGCCATAGCATGATTCGTAACAGGATTATTGTTTTTTGCCCTGAGTAGATATATACACTACAGCTAACACAGTCATAATTTGCACTGACTATAAGCAACACAGTGCTACGAGCATGCCAAACTCTCTACCAGAAAATCATTACTTACAGAATGTTATTAGGTTCCTAATGTTTAATCCTGGCTCGCAGAAAAAAAATTGAATACATAGGAATACATTTATTTTTTAACTCCATCTTTCTCAGAAAAAGATGTTTTAAAAACCACATGAATTGGATCAAGTGCTTTAAGACACAGTGTCAAACCTTTAGAAAAAAACATATCCATAGCAAAATGGAAAGCACAGTAATAACAGCAGAATAGTAAGGTCCTAGGCTACACAAGCAAGGATCAGTTCAAATGCAACAGCTGTAGGCACAGAAATAAAGGAAAGAAGATACTTCCCATTATAAAGCCTCAAGAATACAAGGACCTCCAGCAAGATATCCTTACCTTCACTGCCAACCCTTAAATGAGTTTGGGAAGGGGTGGATCCTGGCTCCACCCCTTCTGGTCAATCAGGTACATTTCATGCACCTGAGCTGCCCTGGGTTGGCCCTGCCTTCCTACCAGGTGCTCAATCACTGCTTCAAGCTGTAACTCAGCATTTTGGCTACAGTATCCCACTTCTAGGATGCTGTGCACCTACCTCACTGGGTAGCATGCTGTTCCACAACATCAACCTTCCCAACATCTTCCTGCTACCACAACATTCTTAATGTATTTTAGGAAAACTGGCAGGAGGCAGAGTGCATGAGTAGGAAAACTGGCTGCACTGTAGGTATGGAATTATCAAATGGGATTCAAAAATACATGAAATGTCAGAGAAAACGAAGAGAGTAGTCCACTGTGTTATGGGGAAGTGAGCAGACAATGCAGAGGAAATTGAAATACAGAGTTTCTTCTTACTGCAGCACTCACACAAGCAAATAAGCAGGTCACAACTGGAGAGGTAATTTAGTTGGTTTAAGCCAGAGTACAGAACTACAAAACAAGGAAAGAAAGAAGAGTTTAAAGTTAGACATACTTGCATCAGCACATGAAATGTTCTCTGATGCACTAAGGACAGCAGCCACAGAAACCTCAACCCACTCGTACTGTTGAGCACCTGTAGAGAACGGCCTCAGGGACTGGAGAAGAACAAGGCTGGGACAGCTCACTCAACTGCAGGCTTTGGAAGATAACAAGATGAGTTATTAGAAAATCAACGAGCATCTCTGAAGACAAAATGGTTATACAAAGTTAATAACATTAATTAGTGACAAGAAAAAATCCTGTCATGACCATTTTCCCTTTCAGACATGGTAACTGGGCTAAGTAAGGGAGAGGGCACTGATGTGATGCACTTGGCTTTGATAGGACCTCCAATCTAAGACACCCCACATTCTGGCATGTGGGAACTGTGACTTACATTAAAGCACAGCTACAACCACCATATGCAGAAGTAATTAGGAATAATTCTCTTGCAAGCTGTGAGTCAATTTCAAGTGAGGTTCCAAAATGTTCTGTCACACACCTGGTTTTATGTCATGTTTTATTTCATTGCCATGCTGGCAATGAAACAGAGAAGTGAACTTTCAGAATCCGGGCTCACACTAAGCTGGGAGAGACTGCAGTTTGGTAAGCAGAGCTCAACGTGATTTTGACGATCTGAGAAATGGGCTGAATTTCTGTAATCCTGTAGAGATGGCTGCAAATTATTACAATGACAACCAAGAAAATAAATTCAAATATCCAGGGAAAAACTAACAGCAAAAACACAGGGAAGAATCCCTGAAGGTTACAGTGGATTGGAGTTAGATTGAAGAGACTGCAGTTAGATTGGAGAACGCAGCCAGGAGTGTGGGAAAAGAGAGATTATTTGGCACTATGAGTAACTGAGGCACAAGAAACAAGAATTCTGCTCTGTTCAGTGGCAGCGAAACCTCAGCTGGCACACGTTATGCAGCTCGGATACTGCAATGAGAGAAAATTACACACAGCAAAAACTAGATCTGAGCGTGCACGAACAATGAACAGGAAAATATCAGGGCACGAGTGTCTGCAATAAGAGGGAGAAATAAAACCGTGAAGTGATCATCCTCAAGCTCTTTAGCGGCTAAGCGACAGGCATGGATTCGATTTATAGCCATCAAGCACCGAACCGCTAACCTCCTGCGGTAAGGAAAAACAAACAAACAAACACAACAGCGACTTATACAAACCAGCATTAAGTCACGGACCTACGTCAAGAGACCACGGTGCCTCTGAAGAGAGGAGGGGAGGAGGGGGGGGGCGGCACCCCGTTGCTTTAACCCCGAGAGAAGAGCCCACCCAACCAACCCCAACCCCGGCGCTCACCATGGCGGCGGCCGCCTCGCCTCCCCTCCCGCGGCCCTGGCAACGAACGCCCCGCCCGACGCTGTGCGTGAGGCTGTTCCGGACGGAAGCGGAAGGTGGGCAGCGGCGCTGGCGGAGGTGACGGGTGCGGGCTGTGCGGGCTGGTGTGCTGGTAACGGCTGGGGGCTGTGCGGGGGGGGTGGGGATGGGGGGCGTTGGGGTTGGGGTTCGAGAACGGCGCCGGGCGGGAGGGAGTGTGATGGAGTTGCGGAGGGTGGGGTGAGGGCTCTGCAAAAAAGGAAGGAGACTGGAAGGAGTGATTTGAAGAATGGAAACTGGAACTGGACGAGCAAGAGATGGAAGTTGAAGCCCGGCCCTCAGTGAGAGAAGCAGCAAGTGCCAGAAGTGTCGGATCCTTCTTTTAACTTTTCTCGGGTTTCGGAGGCGTGTTTGTTTTTTTTTCATTTCTTTTGGTGTGGGCTTTTTACCTTCTTTAGAGCTTATAGTTCACAGTAAACGGTGTATCAGCGTGCCACTGAACTGAATTTTAGAGGCTGTACTAGAAAACGGACTGATTAACTTCACTTGCTGAAGATGTTTTTCCCTCCCTTCCTCCTCAGGATTACGTAGTTAAGAAGAGCTGGACTGCTAGCAAGAAAATGACATCTCTAGAAAAAAGTAGGTGGTTGGTGTGGTATCTGAGCTGACTGGATTAAAAGGTCTTTAACCTGAATTCTAAAGTCTTATTTCTTTAACTGCATGAAATGATCAGTTAATTGAACTAGATGTCCTAACGTGGTTTTGCCTGGAAAAGCACGCTTGTGGTTCGCGCGGTTACGTGTCTGTACCCTTGTCTGATAGCCCTCTGTGGTCTTTAGAAATTGCTGGCTCTGCCTGAATCCTGAAAACAGAGCACTGTAATGGCAACACTATTGTGTTTTTGAAATCCAGCGCTGGGAATAGGACAGAGGATGCAGGCACATGTTATTCTCTGCAGTATGAGAAATAATGGCAGTATGTGTAGCAGTGTTCTGAGAAGCTTTCCTGCCGTGCCCGCTGTGAGGAAACCTTACTGTGATAGCATTTAACTCAGCCAAAAACTTAATGAGCTTCTGCAAAATGAATTTCAGGCATATTTGGGAATCTAGAGCAGAAAGTAGAATACTGGAGGCTATTAACTAAAAATGAAGTGCAACTGATATGTTGGCTTTTTTTAAATCATTAACTCAAAACACGTTGTAGTATTTAAAACCTCTTAAACTTCTTATGGTGTTAGTGGTTGTATAGCTTAATAGCAGCTTTGTATCAGTGATTTTTAAATAGGACTGCTGTGATTTTTGTCAGCTCCCAAAAGCTGAAGTTCGCTCTCAGTCCATAGTTAACATTGTCAGTTTTTCTTCTCCTTAATAGTTCTTGATTATATCTGCATATCTACCCAATATTATGTGATGGAAACTAGTACAGTTTATCAACGAATGTGTCATAATTAGCAACACACACTTGAGTAATGGCTTTCTAGATTCTAATTTGTACTTGATAGCTCCTGCTGCAAAGGACTGTTTTGTGCATGCAGTGTAAAATTAAAACTTTCACCTCTAAAGTACATAAATGAAGGGAAGTGTTGCAATGACACTAAGATGGTAAACTTCCTCTGCTGTTTCTGAACTGTAGTTGACTATGCCTCATCACCCATCCGAGGACCTGGAGATGGCATGGAAACAGAGCAGACGGGTGAATCTGTAGAAGTAAGCACTACTGGAGCCAGCACTACAAACCATCACATCCACCACAGCCCACAAAAAAAAGCAGTCTCATCGCTGAGTCCTGGAGTTCTCCAGCTAGGGCAGATACATGCTGATAAATCAATAGAAGTTGAAGCCGTGCGTATATTAGTCCCCAAAGCAGCTATCACTCATGTAGTTGCAACTAAAAATGCTAAAGTAGCTAAATCAGCGGGACACAAAGGAGATGCTTTCCATCAGTCAGATGGGACTGCAGATCCCAAGAAAGAACAGACTGAGCTCAAAAATGCAATTGAAAAGCTGAAGAATTCAGAAAAGCGGTTGTTACAGGATAAAGAAGGTCTCTCTAATCAGCTACGTATACAGACAGAGGTAAGAAGTAAAAGGGTTTTTTTTCTCACACAGTTGAGCTGCTTTGGTTCATTTAGTTTGTGAATAAAATCAAAGATAACTGCTATGACACTGAAGCTTTGAAACAAATTGTTTTCTTTTTGAACTTACAAGATAGAGAGTAAAAATGCGTCAGAGTATTCTGGTGCTTCTCTGTCAACAGATAAAAATATCAAAGCATGAATCTGGGAGAAACAAACACACTGTAGGGCTGCAGGGAAATGTCTTTTGAGGAGCAAGATCTTTTCTCATGACCCAACACTTAGTAAAAAAATGTTACGCCATAGAAGGAGGTGTAACATAACTGACAAATGTCTTATGTAATCCTTTGCTATTTTACTGAGTCAGGACTTGAATAGGACTGAAACTTTCTTTGTTTCATGTACCAGATTTTCATTCTTCCTCCTCGAATGCTGTTAAAATTTAAACAAGGAAGTGTTAAATGTGCATTAGTCTTAAAAGTTTGTCTCACTGGAGTGGATTGTGAGGCTTATTATCCTCTCCTTTGGGTGCATTCCATTCTGGAAACAGAAACTGCACGTCAAAAAATAAATTGCCTAAGTTGCACTGCATACAAAAGTAGAAAGTGTTTCAATCTATATTGGTAATGATCAGATAGTTTGGTCTAATTCTAGGTGAATCGGGAGCTGAAGAAACTACTTGTTGCTTCTGTTGGGGATGATCTGCAGTATCACTTTGAGCGGATGGCTCGTGAGAAAAATCAGCTTATCCTGGAAAATGAAGTCTTGGGCCGGAATCTGTCTCAGTTGTCTGAACAACTGGAGCGCATGTCTATACAGTGTGATGTGTGGCGAAGCAAATTCCTAGCAAGCAGGTATTCCCACTTCAAGCACCATTTTTGTGTAGGCTTTTATTATATGCACCCACTCCAGCACTTGGGAATGTGTATGTAATATATATATATGTATATGCATGCAGAGGGCAACCACAACAGCTATTGTAAGACACTTACTAGTTTCAATCAGTAGAAGAGGTAAAAAAAAAAAAAAAGCTCCTTGTAAATCTCAATAGAATAGTTCTGCCTTTCAAAAGTAACAGAGTGGGTCCTAATACTCTTAAAATGTTAACTCCAGTTATTGTTAACATAAGAGAAGTACTTATTTCTGATCAACTGTATCCAGTTTAGGGTTTAAAAATGTCTTCCAGGACAGCTGAAAGTATGATGCAATCACCAATTTGTAAAAAAAAAGTTCATTAATTTTTCAGGGATCTACTAAAACCAGCAACTAAGAATGGAAGAATAGAGAGACCTCTTCATTAAATGCTGGCTGTGTTAGTGCTAGGAACCCTATGGTTACTTCTGTACTCATAAACTAATACATTGTAAGAGTTAGGAGCAAATCTTAAGCTGGTCTAAATGTCAGTCTCATTTGATAAGGGATTAGACTTTTAACTTGCTAAGTGTAGATGATCTACCAGATCTGCAAATAGTGATAGGATTTTAACCTTCTACTGTACTCATATATAACTCACTGCATTTTAACTAGTGATGCTTAATGCGTATTATGAAAATGACTTACTGCTTCAAGGAAATAGGAATATATGATCTCCTCCATTTAAATTGCTGGTATTCAGCAGTTTTGATGTATTGAGTGAATGATAAGCAGTTGTGATAGTACCATCCAGGCAAGCGTTACTATCCTAGTTTAACTTGTTTCTTCAGCATTAATATGAATCCTAAGATAACTGGAAGGGAGCCTCTTCCAGTAACATTTAACAGTGTGGAGATGTGATCAAAGTAACACCTTTGCTATTGTAAGATTCTCATTCATTCAAGTCTCAGATTCCTTACTGGTAGTTGTTAAAGTGCATTCTGTTCTTGGTATTGCAGTATCTGAGGCATTGAAGTACCAGCTCCAGGGGTCTGTTGACATAGAATAGCAGAATATCACAAGCAGCTCTCACATGCTTGTATCTGGAGCATTTAACATCTTGGTATTGCTCCCTGAGAGAAGCAGAGAAGTGGATGCAGTCTGCAGCCATAGCTGTTATCTTTAGAAATGACTGTGAAAAGATGTGATTACGGTGTACCTGCAAGAACCTGGTCAATAACAAAATGTATTCAGCTTTGTCTGTCAGGGTGTTTGTTCACCATGTTCACTTACCCATTTGTATAGAGAGGCATTAGATTGTTTAAACTCAGCAAGTTGAAACGTAGTTTTGCACTTGCATTGATTGTAGTTGAATAGAAATTGCTCTTACTACACGTCCTTTGTAATTAGGTTGACAGGTTCTGCATGGGGAAGGAAGGGGAATGGCAGCTTAATCCTAAGACTGAGCTGATTAAATACTGTCTGCAATAGAATGAAGGTGACTTTCAAACTGCTCACTTAAATTACTAATTGGAAATGTCTTTTGCAGGGTTATGGCTGATGAGCTAACCAACACCAGAGCAATTCTTCAGCGTCAAACCAGAGATGCACAAAGTGCAATCCAGGATCTGTTGAATGAACGTGATCAGTTCCGCCAAGAAATGATTCATACACAAAAGTATGATTTTTTCCTAAACCAGATTACCTCTCTACAAACTTCTCATTTCTGTTGGTTTATTCTGGGCTGGAGAAGAATTGAATAACCTTCCTCTATTCCTGTTATATTTAAGAAAAAAACGGATATGCAGATGATTAGTATAGCTGCTTTTCGTTCTCAGCTTTGGAAGCCAAAGTAGCATTAATTCTTTCCCCAGTATTCCATAGAGGAGTGAGTTCTTGAAGGTCATATACCTTCAAGGTATGAAGGTGAAACTAATATCTCTCATAGCCGCAGACTATATGTAGTTAATCACTTACTGTCTTAACTTCAAGAATCCTCTCTTTCCAAAACTAATAGATTCTTTTACCTGCAATGACTTTTCAATGCTTAGTCTGACAAACGTCTTTTAATTTTTTCCAGTATTAAAATTCTGCATTGGTGAAATCTTGTCAGTGAGAGTAACCTGTTTTGCCTGC